TAATATTAATTATAAATGCTGGTCTGACAGCTTAGTCTTATCTACAGCTAGCTCTTACAACTTAAATGAACCCATTTCTACCAATCCATGTGCTGGCCCAAAGCTTGTTTACCTTATCTATGAACTAACTTCCCATGTTGTTTCTTTCGAGTCTGGCTCATGACTCCTCTTCTTCATACTTTTTTTGAAGGGAGATAAACCTCTGCTTACACTGTACTTTCTGCATTCTGGCACTTTCTTCAGTCCTAGAGTGATGTGGCTTTAAAAGCCCTCTATGGTTTGTCTGAAATTAGAGCAAGGCCTGTTTTACCCTGCTCTACCCTCAAGGTGGCAGCCGTACAAGGCCTGTCCTCTAAGGTCCCAATCCTGCAGGGCTAAGTGTGGATAGTGGTGGTGATCTGTGGAGTTCCAGGATTCCCACTGTTTTTGTTCTCTGCCCTTTGAAGAGCTCCCGGGCCCCATCACCCACTCCCTACCCAAACTCAGGCTCAGATGTAGTGGTGATGTTAACCTCCTGTTGGTTCAGTACCCACCTTAGTGGTCAGTCTCTTGTAGGCCCTGGGTCCCTTGGAAGCTTGTACAGCCCTGATGGGAAAGGTTTCAGTATTGTGCTTTTTTTTGTAGGCACCACTAGTGGCTGGGCATGTGGGAAGTTAGAGATAAGTGGGCATTAGATGGGAGCCCTGGGAGTGTTCTGAACCTGATCAGTGAGCTAGAGTGCTTTGTGCCTTCAGCTCATTACTCTCTTCAGGCTGAGAGAACAGGCCAGAGGCCTGCAGAAGGGACAGGGCTTCCGTCTTCCACTGAGGACAGCTCCCCAGCTCCAGTTGGCGCCATTGTCCCTGAAAACTGTGAGAGGTTTGTCAAAGGCTCATGCAGGAGCTGTAATCTGCATTTCATTTTAAGGACAGATTTATTTTTCTTTGTTCACTTCCCTTTGTTTCCTCAGAGCTACTTTTGGTACAAATGTTTCTTTTGAGCAATTTTCAATAACACTGAAGAAAGAAGATCACTCCTCCACTCCTTCTAGTTGGATGATTCCTCAGGCTGGAGAGACTGTATCTACACCTTCCCCAGAATCAGAGGCCATAGCAAAGGGCTGGAGGGGGAGGGAAGGGCAAGGGTTACAACCCCATTCTAAGTGTCTACACTTTTGTGCATGTAATCTGCTTTAATTCTCATGTTAGCTGTGGTGGTTTGAAAGAAAATGGCCCCTGAAGGAAATGGCACTGTTAGGAGGTGTGATCTTATTGGAGGAAGTGTGTCTCTGTGCAGGCAGGCTTTGAGGTTTCATATACACTCAAGTCATGCCCAGAGAGACAGACCACTTCCTGTTTCCTTTGGGTCAAGATGTAAGGACTTTCAGTCCCAGTATCTTGTCTGACTGCACACTGCCTGTGTTCACCATGATGATAATGGACTAAACCTCTGAACCTTAAGTGAGCCCCCAAGTAAGTGTTTTCCTTTTTAAGATGTGCTATGGTCATGGTCTCTTCACAGCAGTAGAAGCCCTAACTAAGACAGTAGCCCTGTAGGTAAGCTTAATTATTCTTTTTTGTTTTTTTCATACTAAGAAACTTTAAAGGGGTTCCAAGAAGTTAAGTCTGGACTTCCCCAGGCTAGTAAGTGGCAGAGCCAAGTCTATCCCAATGACTGTCCCTTCTGTGGATAGGACTCCAAGAGGGAGGCTGCTCTGCTTCATCTCTCCAGTTAGAGCTGGTCCCCCTTCTTTTCTCCCCTTGAAGGGTCATGTGTTTTATGTCTGTGATGTGATCTTTTCCCTAGCATGTAAAGGAACATCATCAGAGATCATACATGTCAATGGGAAGAAGAATCCAAACAGTTGTGATGGGAGTACACGATCTACCCATGTAGACCCTGGCGGGGTTCAGTTATCAGCATTTGCAGCTGATGGGAAGTATGGACTGGCATGATGTGCTCTGACTGGGCCAAGAAGTTTTAGAAGAGTATTGCTCAAAGAACTACACACAGGTGGATATGTGTAGCCAGAGCCCTGGCCACTCTGTGTTTTTCTGCTTACCCAAGAGTTCAAAAAATTTGAGTGTGTGGCAATTGTCAAATGACACAATTCTGGGATGTCAGAACTGGAGGGTCCACTGGCATTATCCCATACCACTCCCTTAGGTTACATGGGGGAAATAAGAGGTCAAGCCAAGTGTCACAGTGGGCTCATCTAGCTGGTTCTGAAGCCCAAGTATCAAATATTAGAAACCAACCAACTCTTCCATATCCTTTTCCTCTAGAAGGCAAGTTAGTTACATCAGGCTTCCTTTCAGAATCTCCAGAGTACACACACAAATACATATTTATTTTATTTTCCAGATAATTTTTTTGTTGATTTGCAAGATACCTTGGCTATCCTGGAATTCATTCTGTAGACTAGGCTGGCCTCGAACTTACAGAGATTCACCAGCCTCTGCCTCCCGAGTGCTGGGATTAAAGGCATGTGCCATCACCACCCAGTTTCCCAGACAATTCTTATTCCCACTGAGGTCAAGCCTACTGGTTAAGTCATGTAAATAAAGTTGGGCAATCCTGAAGTGTGTTTAACCACACAGAGAGGAGGCTAGACTTTATCCGCTTTCTCTGTTTCTATGTTAAGTAGGCTGGATGAAGTGTAAGAGTAGAGAGACAAAGGGTCTGTATGTTCCCACTCAACACAGTCTCTGCTGACCTCACTGTGCTGTTATCTGTCACCTGCCTGAAAACCTGAAGCTTATCCCTAAACCCTAAGTTGTCTTCATGGTAGAATACCGTAAGCACAGAAGGACTGGGCCCCAGGTCTTAGTCTGACTAACTGTGGAACCCTGGAGCAACAAGGAAAGAGCAGACTTTATGGTTCTTCACCCTTCCCCGCCCACTCATTCTGGACCCATTAGTCTTGCACACAGAGTTAATCAGCTGATATCATCTTCCATACAGGACATGGTTCATGAGAGCTGTTTAATAGAGATTGACAGTCAGATGAAACTGATATGGAGGTATAAGCCAGATAGACTCGTGGCATATAGGAAAGAGAGAGGGATGGGGGGCGTAAAAGATGCTACAGGTTTATAGAACGGGAGCTGAGATGAATCACCCTTCAGAAGACACTCATAGAAGAATTACCAATCACTGTTATACATTATAATGGAGTCCTGAAGTTCCATACCATGTGACCCAGCCTAAGGTATATGCATGCCAAAATTACAGAGGCAGGTACCAGGCAGGGTGATAAAGACACCCTACAGTTGGATGGGGGACTGAAGGGCAGTAAAGCCCAGGCTTTGATTACCCACTGTCCAGAGAGACCTGGACAGGGGCATGGGCGAGAGGTGTGGTAGCTAGAGAATCTGTAACTTATTGTTGTTCATTTGTGAGGGCTGTTACTTGTCATGAGTGGCTTATTTAAAGTAGTATGTCTGTTGTGATTTGAATGTCAAAGGCCATGCATAGGCTTGTGTGTTTGAATGTTTGGTCCTTAGCTGGTGGGTTTAGGAAGGTTATGGAACCCTTGGGAGGTGGAACCTTGATGGGAGAAATATGTTACTGGGGATATCATGGCTCCACTTCCCATCTTCTCTGTATGGCCACATCTTCCAATCTAAGATGGACTGTGTTCCTGGTGGACTTGTGAGACAAAATGAACTCTGTCATATGTTTCTTTTGTCATAGTGTTTTATCACAGCAACATAAATGAGACTAACTCAGTCTCCTAACCCTGTCTTAACATGTAAACATGGGCCAAATCAGCACCCTGGTTTGGAAATGCTCAGGGTGTGTAGAGGGAAAAGACAATGCAAAGTCCTGAGATCTCCCCAGGAGAATGTGGGAAGAGAAGCAAGTGGGCTGGGAGGGAGGAAATGAACCTGCCTCAGAATTGGGCTGACTTTAGACACACAATGGGGGATTTTTGATTTTCAAAGTACTTGAATTTGGGATTTTATTATATAAAAACAACGTAGAAGAAATTAATCAAAGCTTCCTTGTCAGGGATGTAATGATGGCTTCCTGAAAGGACATACTTGATTTAAAGCAGTGTTGTACAGGAAGGACCTTCTTACATGATGAGATAGTTCTTTAGTTTTCTAAGAGAAGGCTGTCACCACCATAAGGCTGTGACCACAGAGTTTAGGGGAGGATGGCATGAACGATGTTAGTGGATGCTCACAGGTTAGTGGAAGTCACTGACGTCTAAGGTGACGTCACAAGGGAATTCTCACACTTGCTTTTACCTTAGACTGAACTCCTTGTATATCTAAATCTATAGCTCCCAGTCTGACTTGAGGCGTGTTCACAAAGAGCCCAGTGCTACACGTTGTTTTGTGTAGCAGACTTCCTTTTAGGCCACCAACCAGTTCCCAAATCATGACATGGAGACTTCTTGATAGTTATTAATGCTTAGTCTTATCTATGCTTGTCCCATTAGCTCTTATAACTTAATTTAACCTGTTTCTCTTCACCTACGTTTTGCCTCAGGGCTTTTTTATCTTTCTTTCATTCTCTAGGTCCTACTCTGTGTCTGGCTGGCTGGCTGGCCAGCCCCAGATGTCACCCTCTGTTTGTCCTTCTTTCTCTTCTCATTCTCTCTCTTCTTGAGCCTAGATTCCTCCTCCTACTTATTCTCTCTGCCTGCCAGCCCTGCCTATCCTCCTGCCTAGCTATTGGTCACTCTTCTTTTTATTAGACCAATCAGATACTTTAGGCAGGCAAGGTGAAACAGCAACACATCTTTACATAATTAAACAAATGTAACACATCTTTGCTTAGTTAAAGTAATAGTCTGCAACAGTTTTACATTTATACAGCAGCATTACTGTTTACTTTTAATTGGGGGGGCTTTTTCCTAACTATCTGCCTTGGAAATGACATTATTCTAGATTAAAAAACTATGAATCTTTAAAATTAATTTTCAAATGAAAAAGATACAACTAGTTCACGGTGGGGAGGGTTATGTGTATCTAATCATGGAAAATAATCCTGTTTTACTACTTTCTCAGGCAACCATGGCTTTTACCTCAGATAATGATTTTAAATTTGAGGAGCCTGAGGCTTTCCTCGTTATCAAAGCATGTCTCATCTCCAGACTCATACTGTGGGTTGGCCTTACACACATCTCAGATGCACCAGCAGATGTAAGTATAATTTAATCCTTCTGTTAAATGATGTTTTGGTCATTTATTGTTTCCATGATTTCATTGAGTTGTCAATATTTTCTTTGATGTTTGATAAACTTATTTAAAATGATAATTTCTTGAACAATTCTTTGTCAGGAAGTTCTGTAGGTCACTGGGGCTTTATTTGGTGATGGTATTCTGGTTATTGTTTTTTATTTTAGTAGCTGTCAGTTGCTGTCTGTATCAACTTGAAGTAAGGTTTTAGTCCAGTCTTTACAGATTGACTTCACCTGAGAAAATTTCAGCAGTGTGACAGTTGTAATCACACAGGAAATAAGTCTGTATCTGGGAGAGATTAGACTTCGGGAATGCCTAGGAGGATTATGTTGGTTAGACTGAGGTGGAAAAGCTCACACTAAAAGCAGGTAGCACTATATCTTGTACTTGATCCTGGACCATATTAAAAAAAAAAGAAAGTAGGCTGAGTGCAGACATTTTCTGCTTCTCATGGTGAATGTGATATGATTGGCTGCTTAGGCTTCTACTGTCTCAGTGAGATTCTGGACCCTTGAACTGAGAACTGCAATAAGCCCTTTCTTTCTTGAGTTGTTTCTTTTAGGGTATTTTATCATTAGCAACAGAGGAAGAAACTAAAACAGTCAGTCGGCCCATGATGGGATTTGGGGCAGGCTTTCTTCCATGAGCTCTTGACGGATTTGCCTTTTATTCCTTAGGCAGGTTGGCCCAGTACTTGGCAACAGGTGGGTCAGGAGATGACCTGAAGCCTGGATATACACAGGCTTGCCTGGGTCCTGGACTGGACCTTGAACCTAAGTCTACAGAGGTTAGTGCCTTGCTTGGAGGGTCGACCCTAGAGTCTGTATGGACAGGCCTGGATATTGAAATCGTGGAGGCCGACCTGGTGCTGAGGCAGGAGCTAGATCATAGTAGACAGCAGGATAAATAGAGCCATGGTGAAAACTGCAGCATGTATTCCAATGGGAATGCTTGTTAGAGTTAATAGCGTTAAAAAGTGGAGCCAGTTCACTAAGGATGAGTGGCAAAGGTGCTTGCAGCTGAGCATAAAACAGCCAAGCAGAACTGGCAAGAGCCAGACAGAATGTCTCTAAGAAGTAAGGCCAGTATTTGAAGGCTAGCTTGGGAAGCTTTTATAAGCTACTCCATCCCTGGGAAGCATATGTTAGGTATATGGCTTTTTACATATTTTTGTTTTTAGTGTAGATAATTATAACAGACTAAGTTGTTAGTAAGGATGTCCCATTTCTTCTAACAAAGCCTGCCTCATTTCAGGAAAGAGATGACAGACCACCCCACAGAAAAGGAGATGATCCAGAATTATTGCAATTACTTCTTGTTAACTATAAAAACTTAGCGCCTAAGACACCTGCAGGGGCAGAGGTAGCAACAGGAGCTAGTGACTCATGGCTAGCACACAGTTCCATGTCAGCAACTTGACAAAGCTGAAGCCGGAGATGGATGAAATGGGGCCTCATCCATCCTTGCTGACTAGGTGGGCAACAAATGAACAGAGCACAGTCCTCTCTGGTGGTGTTATACACTGCTAACAGCTGCAGGAAGAGAAGAACTGACTCAAGGGATATGCCCTTGGAAGGACTAGGAGCAGCAGGAATCTGGAATGGGGAGGGCCCTGGGACCCCAGAGCTCCTAGGTGGGCTCCCACCACTCTCCTGACGGGTGCTGTTTGTTCTAATGAAGTTGGTCAGTTTTGCTCCTTTTATCTAGCTGTGGATGGTGTTTGCTTCCCTGTTCTCTTCTCTGCAGCCTTGGGTCTCCCCCTATCATTTTCTCATTCTGAGGGCAGTGTGTTGGTGATCCTAAGATCTGTGGTCTCTCAAGCTCTTCTGCTGGTTTTTCTTTCTTGGTGTCTGTGGTTGTTGCTCCTCTTGTGTTTTGGTCTTCTGTTGTCCAATCTTTAGTTCATATCCCATAACTGGCAAATCCCCTAGACAATGAGCTCTCACCTCCAAACCCTAGTACCAGAATAAGACATCAAGTCTTCTAATTGCCAAATAATAACATGATCTCAGTCTTTGGTCATAACTCCATAAAAAGCTTCAAGACCATTTTACCCAGCAACCCATCTGGGTCTCTTCTCATCAGTGCTGTCTTAGTCACTGGTTCTTTTGCTGTAAAGAGACACCATGACTACTGCAACTCTTATACAATAAATCATTTAATTGGGGCTTGCTTATGGTTTCAGAGGTTTAGTCCATTGTCATCATGATGGGGAACATGGAGGCACAGGCAGACAGTGCTGGAGAAATGGCTGAGAGTTCTACATCCAGATACATAGGCTCCAGGAAAAGGAAGAAACGGCCTAGCTTGGTCTTCTGAAATCCCTAAGCCCATCCCCAGTGACACACTTCCTCTAGCAAGGCCGCAATCACTTTGACAAGGACACACTAACTATTCCTTCTCAAGTAGTGAAACTCTCTGATGACTAAGCATTCAAATATATGAACCTATGGGGGCCATTCTTATTCAACTCTCTGATCCAATAGGCTTTTAGTCATGTAATAATACAAAAATACATTTTAGTCTATCACAGTCTCAACATTGTGTAAAGTATGAAGTTCAAAGTCTGTTCTGAGACTCATAGTACTCTATTAACTGTAACCACTAGTGAAATAAAAATGATAAATACTTCCAACATACAATGGCACAGGATTTACCATTCCAAAAGGGAGGAAAGAGAGCATATTGAGGAATACTGAATCAAAGCAAGACAGAAAACCAGCAAGGAAAACTCCAAATTCTGCATCTCTGTGTTTGATGTCAAAGGGCTCTTCAGAACTCCAACTTTCAACTTTGATGACTGCAACACAGTTCTATCTTTTGGGCTAGTATTGACTATGTGGCATAGTTATTAGTGGTCCCTCTTATGCAGGTCCACAATGAAAAGACTAGATCACACCCAGTCTACAGCTCTCTTGGGCAGGTATTCCAAAGCTCTGGCATCTCCAACATCCAGGGGTCTCACAATCCGGTCTCCACTGTCACAGATTCACACAATGGCCTTTTTGGGCCTCCATTCAGGGACAGTCCTGACAAGAGTGTTGGCCTTAGCAGCTTTCCTTAGCCATGGAGGGAGATTACACAACCGCTTCCTTGACTCTGAAGCCAGAACCAGATGGCCAAAGATGCCATGTTCTGCTGCTTTCTCAGACTGGAACATGGCCTCCTCATTTAATGACATTTCCATTGCTTTCTGTTGTTGATGGTTTCCTTCACTGCCTGAGCTTTTCTTTCATTTCTTTTCACAAGTTGGAAACTTAGCTGGGTGGGGTCTTGTTCTGAGATCATCATTCCTTTATTCCATTTGGCTTTTCTTTAAACTTTTTATCTCCTTCAGCACTGGACTTAGGTCTAATAGACTCCATCAGCTCCTTTTCTTCTCAAACTGTATATTTTGTATTTTTCATTTCTCAGCTTGCTCCTTTTCATTATAGTTCTGCATAAGAGTGACCAGTAGCAACCATACTGCAGAATCAATACTAGGATGATTTGAACCCTCCTTTGCTAATGCCATTAATCCAAAATTCTTCAATTAAACCTTGAGAAGTTTTTTTGTTTTTGTTTTTGACAATGGCAGAAAGTAGATACATTCTTCGCCAAATTATCACAAGAATGATTTGTAGGCCACTTACTGATATTCTTCCCCTCTAAAACTTGTGTTGGGCTCCCACAGTTCAAATTCCCTCAGAAATATTTTCCATGCTCCTACTTAAGGCATTCAACTACTTTCCTAATCCAAAATCCCAAAGTACACATTCCACCATGAGCAGCATGATCAAGCCTGTCAGAGTAATGTAACACTCCCTGGTACCAATGGCCATGTCTTCATGGGTTCAAACTCCATCCCTAGTACCATCTTCTATGTTAGTCAGTGTTTTATTGTTGTGAAGAGGCACCACAACCATGACAACTCACAAAATAAAACATTTAATTAGGGCTTGCATACAGTTTCAGAGGTTTAGTCCATTATTGTCATGATGGGGAACATGGTGGCATACAGGCAGACATGGTGTTGGAGAAGTAGCTGAGAGTTCTACATCTAGATACCCAGACCACAGGAAGAGAGAGACACTGGACTGGCTTGGGCTTTTGAAACCTCAAAGTCCACTTCCAGTGACACACTTCCACTGACAAGGCCACAACTACTCTGAGAAAGCCACACCTCCTACTCCTTCTCAAGTAGTGCTACTTCCAGGTGACTAAGTATTCAAATATATGAACCCATGGGGCCATTCTTCTACATGTCGTACAAATGACTGCTCTAGCTGCCTTGGAACCTCCAAAGGCCAGAGCTAAGATTCTATTTGATTATGTGACCAGCATCTCTACAGTTCTGCTGAGCTCTAAATTTGGCTTTCCCAGATATTCAGAATATCATTCCATACCTTGCCCATACCTAGGTATAGAACCTGAGGGAACAACTGTGCTATTCGTGGAACTGTTGACTTATAAGGCAGACTGCTGCAACTTGTATCCTACATCAAGCAGTTAGCCTGATCCTAGTTCTTGGCTTACATAGGGCTGTGTCTCCAAAATATCAGCTATTGTCTACTGTACACAACAGTTTACTGTACAAAGTACAATCTCAAAGGCACTGGGAAGAGGGGAGAGTCTTCTTGATGCAAGGAACAAAGCTCCACTCTAGAGCTCTCAAACAGGATTTTGTATGGTTCTATATGGAAGATTCAAGAAAATCTGGGGGCAGGAATCAAGTCAAGGTTTATGTCCACAATGGTTTAATTAAAGCTAGTTTTTGAGGAGCACCAGTTCTTTTATGAACACACACCAGTGTTCACACGTGCCTGGAATGTCAGCCAAGTGTGAGACCGAGCCACTGGAACACAATAGTGATGGAAGGCTTTTTAGAGGGACAGGATCTTTCACAGCCCAGTGTGCATGACCCAAGGACCTAAGATGCTAAACATAGCTTTAGTGTGTAAGTGCTGCTTGTTTCA